AATGTGACTAGTTTATTTTTTCTGGTACCTATACTATTTTTTTGGCTGTATTGTTCCATTACTTTTGAAAAGTTAATTCCCTTGGAGTAGCCAGGTGGCACAGTGGATAGAGCACAGGCCCTGGAGTCAGGAGGACCTGAGTTCAAATCCGGTCTCAGACCAGACACTTGACACTTACTAGCTGTATAACCCTGGGCAAGTCATTTAACCCCAAATGCCTCACAAAAAAGAAAGAAAAGGTAATTCCTCATAAATTACAGCAATATCATAGATTTGATCTCAGTGTCACAATAGCCTTCTGATTCTTAGTAAGCATAGAGTCTTTAGTGATAGGTTGCCGCGAAGTGAGGTGAGCATTTATTTCTTCAACTCTGGGTGGAAGCTGATGACTATCTCTGTGACCAACTACAACTGTCAGCAAAATATAGATATATTATACCATATTACCAACATTGCAATTCCACAGCTGAGGTTTTGTGCTTAGATAGGAACAAAAATACTTATAGGATGTGATCTGTCCAGAGCTCATCTTACTGTTGGCCTGTTTAGCCCACCATTGCCATTATTGCCTTTTTAGGGGATTAGCTCTGATTCCTGAGAAGTCTGAATTTACAGAGCTCAAAGAACCTTATAAGTCATCTTATATCCTGTACTGAAAAAATTCTTCATCCCACAATTTGTGGTTAAGAACATTGAGTTACAGAACTATTGGAGGTTATCCAACAGTTATCCTTTTTTGATAAGGAGATAGAGACAGAAATATTAAGTGGTTTACCCAAGGTCATGTAGCTTATTTGTGATGGAGCTGGGATGAGAACTCAAGCCTTCTGACTCATGTTGGGTCATTGGCAAGGCTGATAGCAGAACATGTTAGTGGAAGTATATTTTGCTTTTAAAATTCTATGTTTATTGTACATTCAAAGGTATTGAGAAATCTCTTAGGTTTTAAAAAGTTAGCTATACTCCACCAAATATATCAAACTAAAGTTACTCTTTAAATGAGCCAATAATTGTCACATTTTATGTGATAAGAAAATGAAAAAAATAAGTAAATATTGCCTTTATTGATAATATGCATATTACTAAGTAGGTAGACTATTAGGCATACATATATGTGTGTATTACAAAGCTTTATTTGAATGAAAAAGTAGATCAGGCATATGAACCTTACGTTGAGGATAAAAACAAATCTAATAAGTAAGTTTTCTATAGCTATGGAAACATAATTATACTACAGTTTAGTAAATTAAATACTCTGCTTTAGTTTGACAGTCCTTCTTCTGAAATAGCAAGAAGACATTTCTGCTTGGTTTAGAATATGTATTTTAACAAAGGAGTTTCATATGTAGCACCTTCAAGTTAAACAGCTTCTTTTTTGAAAGAATGTTGTATATAGAGAGTTTAAACATTAGTTTTTGAATGCTCTGTCCAACATTTTCTTGACCTGGCAAGTGATGTGAATTTGGTAATTATATAATTTTCCAGGAGTCTTCTGAAGATCAACGACTGTAAGCCCAACTCTCAGCTCTGCCCTGAGGCTTCCAAGAAGGCAAAACCCATAAATGAATAACAAATACGAGAAGCCACAATTTCTGAGCACACTTTTAAAGCTCGGTATATATATTTTTAGTTTCCCCTTCCTTTTTTAGTGTAACTATCCCTGTTCCTAACCAGAGCTCCTAATTTTTTATCTACTATTTATAGTGGAAGTGTTAATCTATGGCCTGTCAGCTGTATATCACCTTACAAAACTCCTTAGTTTTGCAGAAACCAGATTAAGATGTAATTAGGAAATGTTTAACTAAATAAAATACAACACAGATGATATGAATTTGTGGTTTTTTAAATCACTATGCTGTTGGCAGGGATTATTTCAATTTAAGTTTGACACCACTGATTTATAGCATCTCTCTTCTTATAGAAAATATAATGTGGAAACATTCTCATTAGCAATAATTCACATTTGTATGTTTCTTCAAAGTTTACAAAAGACTTTCCTCAGGTTGCATTGACCCATTTTACAGATGAGGAAATGGAGGATCAGGCTGAGTGACTTTCTCATAGTCATACAGCTGAAAGTATTTGAGTTAGGACTTACAGAATTTGACAGTTTTAAGGGAACTAAGTGGCCGTCTAGATAAATACAAATACAAAAAAAAAATCCCTAACATAACATACTAGCCAAGTGGTCATCTACTCTCTGCTTGAGGACCCCCAATAAGAGGGGACCTGTCATCTCTTATCTTTATGCATATGATTCTCAGATCTATTATATAACCCTAACCCCTCTTTTGACTTTCAGACTTTCATCTTCATTACATGATTATTGAAAAATCTAAGACTAGCTATACCATAGATATCTTAAACTCAACGTGTCCAAAACTGAACTCATTATATTCCCCCTCTTAAAAAAAATCCCTCTCATCTTTTTAACTTTTCCATGATTGTCAATGGCACTACCATCATCTCAGTCATTCTTGTTCCCACCCTGAGTTGGGATCCCTCCCTCTCTGTCATCTTCCCATTGCTAAGTCCCGTCAATTCTGCCGTCACAACCTCTCTTGTAAACAGCTCCTTTTCTCTTCTGACACTGCCACAACTTTGGGTTTCTCTGATTGACTTTTCTATTTCTTAACCAGTACCTAACTGTTTCAATTGATTACTGCTTTAGAGTATAACTGTAGCATAAAGGTATAGTATAGTATAGTATAGTATAGTATAGTATAGTATAGTATAGTATAGTATAGTATAGTATGGTATGGTATGGTATGGTATATAGTTTGGGGGTCTACTACTGCAAGGCCCTCTCCCTTTCCAGTTTCACCCATTATTTCCCTTGAGATCTTTGACCTTTTGTTTCTCTAGATGATTTATTATTGTTTTTGTTATTATTTTTATAGGGCATAATGATCTCACACCTGGACTGTTGTAATAGTTTGCTTATCTTCCCACTTGAAGTTTTTCTCTACTCCAGTCATGTCTATACTCAGCTATCAGAATGGTCTTCTTATAAGGTAGGTATGAATATGTTTCCCCTCTCCCTATCCAATAAATGCCAGTGACTCCCTGTTACCCATGGAATAAAATATAAGATCTTGTTTGTCTTTTGAAGCTTTTCATAACTTGGTGCCTTCCTATGTTTTCAGTTTTCTTATATCCTACTGTCTTTCACATACTCTATGATCCAGTGACACTGGCCTTCTTGCAATTTCTCCCATATAACATTCTATTTCTCAACTACATGTATTTTCATAGATTTCATAGATGGAAGTGACATTAAAAATCACTTAGACTAATCCTCTCATTTTACAGATGAGGCAACTAAGACCCAGAAATATGTAGTGATTTGCCAAGATTACACAGGTAGTAAGTAGCAGAATTAAGACTGAAATCCATTCTCTTTGATTCCAAATCCAGAGCTCATTCCATTACATCACAGTATCTCCCACTCTTATGCAGCAGTAGTGACAACTATTGACACTGTTATGAGAACAGACCCCAAAATCTGAAATAATTTTAGAAAGAAATTTGTTAGGCCATCTAGAAGAGAGTGAGCCAGAAGGGAAGTGTAGTTCTCTCCATTTTTTGGACAATTTACATTATATAGGGTTTTGGCAAAGATTTCTCAAACAGGAACCCCGTGTATGCAGTTAAGCAATTTTGTTGAGAGGGCAGCACAAAAGGAAGGTAGACTGAGATAGATCTGAGTAACTGTAACCCAAAAAAGAAGCTTGGGGTGGACTCTTCTGAAGTTTCTGGGTGTGGTAACCCAAAACAAGAATGCTTTGGATGGATCTGGGGCCTGGAAGAATCAGAAATACCTTGTAGCCATCTCTGGCATTCCTAAAAAGTTACTGGGATCAAGGGACATTCTGGATGTGGACAACATTTAATCACATAAGGTTGTATTTAAACTGTGATAATTTTTCCTGAACAGTATAATAAATAATTTCCCCCACAATACCCCCCCTTTTATACTGTTTCTATGATAACTACCCTGCCTTACAACTTTTTTGCTCTCTGTAACCCCCAACCCCTTGTCTAAGAATATACTTGTGTCGGTTTTTAAGCTTTGCCAGCAGATGTCTCCATTACTCCCTCATACTTAGGACCAGCCCAAGAAAGTAATTGTTTTTATTTTTTAACCAAAACTAAGGAAGATGATCTAATAATCTGACTAAAATGAGCAGACGTACTGGAAAATGTTTTTCTCTCTCTCTTTTAGGTAGAAATGCAAGCGTACTTATTCTTTCCCTCTATGTCCCTAGGCACAAACTCCAGAGTAAAAGACTACTTTAACTGAAAATATGAAAATATCAATATTAGCCTTCGAACTAGGTTTGCTTGGTAAGCTAAAAAATCTCTGCCGTTTCCCCTAAGGTACCACATCTTTTAGAGCTCCTTCTCCTCGTCCTCCTCTTCCTCCTCCTCCATCTCTTCCACCTTCACCACCTCTTCTTCCTCCTGCCTCGCTCCTGTCCCTCCTCTTCCCTCTTCTTCCTCTCTTCCTCCTCCTTCTCTTCTTCCTCCTCTCTCCCACTGTCCTTCTCTCCTTCCCCCTTCCCCCCCCCCTTCTCTCCTCCTGGTTCCCCCTCCTCCGCAGCCGCCTCTGTATAGCTTTGGGTTCAGCACTGGACAGCTCCCTTTTCCTGCCCTGTGAAAGGAAGCTTGCTGATTGACAGATAAATCGACCATTCAGGGAGTGAGATGACTGGATGCCGACCTACAGGCCCCTCTGAGTGCTAATAAGGGGTTGGTTGTAGCAAAGCTGCCTAGTTAACGGACACTCCCCTTCACCCCCAAGACTGGAGGGAGGGAGTAAAGTGTTTCCTTGGCCAAACCTAAGTACTTCAATTAACCAATCACTTAAGCATCCTCTCCTCCATAGAGACAAGCACACCTTTCTCTTTCCCCCACCCCTTTCCCTCTCCTAAATATATTTTTGCTTCTTCAGGTTTCCTTGCAGTGCTCTGTGTGTGTGTGGGTTAGTGTGTCTGTGCGCGCGCAATCAGAGCCTCCGTGGGATGTGAATGAGGAGGAGCTTGAGTTGGGGAGGGGGGTGAAGAGGGGGAGAACCTGCCACTGGTTAGATGATGGAGCAGCGCTAGCAGGCGGCAGCAGCAGAAGCATCTCGTTAACACACCTCAATGAAAGCGGCAGTGGAAACGGATGGGGATAAAGACGTAAGCAGGCTAACTATAGCTGCCGTGCAGCGAGATGGGATGTAACCTGCTCAGATCAAGGCTGCGAGGTGCGTAATCCCCAGGGCTAGCTTATTGTGGAGAGGAGATCGCAGTCAGCATTGCCACAGGTGACTTGGTTTCCTCCTTACAGTTGCTTTGAGATTCAGGCTATTTAAAAAAAAATTCTAATTTTTAAAATCTCCACCTCCTCCCCCTTGATACCATCTTTAGAAGGAAGACTAACAATAATATTACTATTACGACTATTAATAAAAAAATTGAAAAGTGACTTCCCATCACCTCTGCTTCCCTCGCTCCGAGACAGCAAAGAGACATGGTTTACCCCTTACTCCTTTGCCTCCTGCTTGCTCAGCTGGGATTGGGAGCTGCCGGTTCCAGCCGTGACCCACCAGGGCGCCTGGAGCCCCATAGAGAGAGGACCCTTAGAGGGAAGCAGCATGGCCATCAGTCCGCCCGAGCCTCAGACTCTTCGACTCTCTGGAGCCGGTCCATCGACAGCACCATCTTAGCGCAGAAACTCTCCGAGGAGGTGCCCACGGATGTGGCCTCTTACCTCTACACTGGGGACTCCCATGAACTGAAGCGCACCAATTGCTCCAGCCGCTTGGAGCTGGCAGCCGGCCTGCCGGGGAAGTCCCCCGCCATGGTCAGCCTGCACCCCTCCTTGCACGGGGCGATGGACACGCTTATCTACGCCACCAACTTCCTCAACATGATCAATAAGTCACTAGAGCAGAACTTGCAGGACGACCTGGAGTGGTACCAGGCGCTGATCCGGAGCATCTTTGAAGATGAACCCAGCATCTCACGGGCAGCCATTACTTTTAGCACCGAGTCACTATCCTCTTCAGCCCCTCAGGTCTTCCTTCAGGCCACTCGCGGGGAGAGTCGTATCCTCCTACAGAACCTGTCCTCTGCTCACCATTTGACCAACGCCACCCTGGAGACCGAATGGTTTCACGGCCTGAAGCGCAAATGGAGGCCCCATTTACACCGCCGAGGTTCCAACCAGGGGGCCCGGGGTCTGGGCCACAGCTGGAGGTTCCGGGACAGCTCAGGGGGGGAAAAGAACCAGATCAGGTGGTCTCTGCCATACCTGGAGTGCGAGAACGGGAGTTACAAACCTGGCTGGTTGGTCACTCTCTCCGCCGCTTTCTACCGGTTCCAGCCTAACGTGGTTCCTGAATTCAGGTAGGAAGAGGAAGCAGAGGAAAAAAAATAAACAACATGCTGCTTGTGTGTGTGTGTGTGTGTGTGTGTGTGTGTTGATGCGCGCACCTGCGCTTGTAAGGGGCGCCTACTATGCTACACTGCCCCATCCTAGAGATGGGGTTGGGGACCCTCCATACAAGCATGGTAGGGAGAGGATTCCCCCCTCAACTACTCAAGAAAAAATAACCCCCTCTCTTTCCACCCTTCCTGCATGGGGAAAGGAGAAGGAAATGTGGGGTGTACTCCATCTTCCCTCAATTGGGTAGAGTTTTCGGGGAGGGGTAGGGGAGCTCCTGTTGAATTGAGGAGTTGTGATCAAACTCTGCTTTCCTCAGTCAAGTGACTATAGGGAGGACCTGCCTAGAACCCAGGGGAGAGAGCCTCTGGTATCCCAAAGGATAAAAGTGGCAGGAAATGGGGAAGGAGGGAACTTGAGCTACAGAAGCGAGTTTCTTGTTTCCGTCACTCCGAAGTCTGTAACCTCTGCCTCCTACTAGTGTTGATAGTTTGACTCTCGCCGACGTGTTATTAGTTAGTTACCGGAGCGTATAATTAACAAAGGCACAATTCCCTCCAGGGTTTTGTGAAGGGCAGCTAGCACAGGAAATAGATTCTGGGCTAGAGAACCTGGCGCTCCGGTCAGTGGACTGGCTCCCTGCGAGCTCTTAGCCCAGAGCCATCGTTGCCTTGTATCTAGGATTTTTCAAAGACCAACCTGCTTTTTACAGCTCTCTGAATTAACTCAGGGGATGGAAAGAATCAAGTTGGATTTAGGAGGTTAAATGTTGTGGAAAGGGAATTGTTGCTATTTAAAACTATGGCATTTGACAACAATGTGAAATTAGAAAAATAGCCGATTACCTCCGAAGCACCTGACCTCGAACGACCAGATTTTGGAACAACCCCTCTGAAGGGTGGGAGTGAAGACCGCTGGGACAGAGCTGAAGTAGGAAGTTCCAGGAGAGATCTGGGGTGTGACAAACATTCCCCTCAATCTGACCCTTTTCCAATTCCTTAGACTTTATAGATGGAGATTCCTGAGGGGTTTACTTTATTTGTTTATTTAATCATTCATTCATCCACTCATTTATTTATTTATTTATTTGCTTACTTATTTATTTATTTATTTATTTTTGTAATAGAATCAGAAGCCATAAAATTAGTACTTTTTTTTTTTTAAATTCTCTCTCTGTCTGAGAGCATAAAAGAGTCGAGATCAGGCAGCTAAGCTGATAGAGAGGAGGCAGTGGAATGGCCTTGAACTAGAGGAGATCTTTGCACTAGTCTGGGACTTAGCAATGAGCTTGCTGTGTAACCTTAACAGGCCTTAGGTGTAAAATCAGAGGCTTGTTCTCTATGAACCTCTTCCTTTCTCTGATAGGTGATAGCACTGAGAGGGAAAAAAAATCAAGATTTCCTTAATCAGATTTCCTTTTTATGACCTGTGCAGATTTTTTGGATTTATCTCTCTCTCTCTCTCTCTCTCTCTCTCTCTCTCTCTCTCTCTCTCTCTCTCTCTCTCTCTCTCTCTCTCTCTCTCTTCTCTCTCTCTCTCTCTCTCTCTCTCTCTCTCCCCTCCCCCCTTTTACATTTTGGACAAGTCCTCTCCCCCCAGTGCTTTACTACTAATCCTTTATCTTATTGCTTCTGCTGCACTGATCTTATTAGGAAGAACTGAGCCCAGGTGCAAGCTCCTTGCAACTAATTTGCTTAGAAGAGCAAAGATCAGTTAGGTACTGTGAGTTCCTAGTGTCTGTGACTTGCAGGAGAGCACTTTCCCAAGGCATCCAAGGCAAAAGACTCTAAGGAATTCTGGAGTTGGAATGGAACTTTTGTGCCAAAAGAATTTTACAAAGAATTTCTATGACAGAGATAGGCTTTGTATCTCAGCTCTTTGAAAGACAAACCTCTCATATTTGCTTTTTATAGCACTCTCAGTTATGGATTGTAGTTTGTTCCACATCTTTATTTTAAAGCATTTGTGCTGAAAAGATTTTAGAGCTCAGGTCAAATATTCCTGGGATCTTCAACTAGCCAAGACCCAAGGCTGAGAAAGCAGAAGGCCCCAAGTAAGCCAACAGAATGCACTTTTTACCATTCTCTTGCTTGGGTCCAGAGAACAGTTCTGAGAACAGAGCCCCTGCTGAGAGTCATTCTTCAGCTTTTAAAGACATGAAACAGGTCAAATTTAAGGTAGAAGTTAGCCAGCAGGGGTCATCCAAGTAACAGAACAAGATTCTTCTTTTGCCCATAGACCCTTTAGCATCATGCTCTATGATTTCCAAAGGTTGATGGGGGTGGAGTTTTGATACATAGCCAAAGCACCTTTCTATGGATGCCTGGAACCTGGACAGTTTAAATATTCTGTTCGATTCAAATGTTCAATTCTCAAGCATCTTTTAGGACAATAAGAGATGAAAAACAGTTAATGGAACTAAAAATAGGTGTTTGTTTTATATGTTTAAAGTAATATTTACATGAGGCTCATTCTCTTCATCTCTAAACTCATAAAAGGAAGAGTCATTTCAAACTCTTAGTCATCTAATGTGAGGTTTTTTTTGGCACTTCTTTAAAATAGCAGAGAGATATGGACACAAAAGATAATACAGTGAGACTGAAATGAATCATTTCTTGGAAACTAGGAGGCCAGTCAAGGGATTATGTTAAAAAGAATGTTTTATAACTCAGTAATTTGAAAAAATAAATCTTTAACAAAAAAATCTATTGATAAATGACATACAATATTTAGTGAAGGAAAAGCCAACAAAATATCTTTAACTCTCAATTTGAGAGTTCATAATATTTTTTCCTTACTTAGAAGATTCAGCCACTTGGAACACATTATTTGTAGAGGAAGTAAATCTAAAACATTAAATCTTGAAGTAGAAAAACTACTCAATTACTGTTATCATTTATATTTATCGCTCTAAGGAATGTCCCAAACAAATTTTTAAAATCTCCTTTCTCGATATGAGTGACAGAAGTGTATTAAGGTTCAAAGTCCAGTTTAGAACGTAGATGAGAAGCAGACATTAATTTCCTATCTATCTTTCATTCCAAAAATTTGCAAGCAATTCCATTCAACTGACTGTCTCTTGATTCATTGATTATGGACACATGATACAAATATGTTTAAATTCATTTCAGCAAAAATTAATTGAGCGCTTACTATATTGAAAGCCCTGGGCTAGAAGCAGTAGATATAGGAAGAGAGATGTAAAATGAATAAGATATAATTCTCTCAGCATAATCTTATAGAGTATATGATAATAGTAGCTAGCATTTATTTGTAGCACTTTGTAAGTTTTCAAAGTGTTTTATATCTCATTTGATCCTTGCAACAACCCTGGGAGGTAGGTGCTATTAGAATCCCCATTTTTCAGATGAGGAAAGTGAGGCAGGCAGAGGTTAAGTGACTTGCTCAGGATTATATAACTAGTAAATGTCTGAATCTGGATTTGAACTTGGTCTTCCTGATGCCAAGTTCAGTGCTCTCTCCATTTCACCACCTGGCTGTTCATCATCATCATCATCATCATCATCAAAGTAATCTTTGATGCTCTCTTGATTCCTTAGATAAAAATCATAGATCTAGAACTTGAAAGAAATTAAGATGCCATCTCATCCCAATCCTTTTATAGTTGAGGAAATTGGAGTCCAGGGAGGCTCAATGACTTGTCCATTTTGGCACAAAAAAAGATTAGAAGATGTAGAACAGTAGTATAAAATTAGTAATTGATTCTAACTTCTTCCTAAGTTATGATAGATTGGTAATGCAATTTAGTCAAGTTTATTTTCTCTAGTCCACATTCAATTGTCAATAGCAGGATTTGGGGGTAACATAATACCCTTTTTTAACCTGAGAAACCTAAACATAAACATTAGATCATGTCTAGTTGAGTCAATAAGCAACTTTTGGATAGATAAGCCCATTTGGATCATAATTCTTTCTGGATGTGAGTATCATTTCAAAATCCTGTATGACAATAAATGGTATCCTTCTGAAGGTAAGAGGTGTCATCTGAAATCAGTTGTCAAACTTTGGAAGAAAATTTGAAGCTCATGAATCACAGGTATCATAGAATCATAGAAATGTGATATCTCTATCATATTTAACCTAAACCCTTCCTAGTACAATTTTCATTCAGGGTTATCTGAATAATGGTCAGCATTCTTCTTATAGTAATTATATGTTCATAGATTTCTGGACAGTTAAGTAATTCTCAATAATTATAATCAGGTCTGGAACATGAAACATATTGCCTGGAGTGGGTAATGGTGACAAGGCACACACATCAGACCAAGGGGAAGAGTAAGTGGCAGCTAACTGAGTGCCATATGGATTGACTACTATTTAAGTGACTTATGGGGAAGTATTGATAATAGTGTCTATAAAAAGTTTTGGCTTCTATTCTCATCATGACGTATCTTAATGACTTATTGCCTCTTGTGGTACATTTGATAATCAATGAAGGGGAACAATTTCCACTGCAGAAGAGGGACCCTAAACAAAGCATATCCTGAGATTCCAATATTGTCTGTTTCTTGTGACCCACCTGTGAGGTGGGTAGCTGTTAGCTACATAAACACTTAGTTTATAGGAAACCCCAGTGGAGTAACAAGAAGACCTGTCATCCTGGTCCTTTTAGATTACAGATTCAGAGGGACCTTACAACCATGTCCTATATTTTCTTTAGATCTTTCTTTACTTTGTCTCCGGTTGACCCTGGTAATTATTGATTTGCTTATCTAAAAATAATACCAAATAATCAGATGAAACTGCTGACAATTTTTGCTAATTATCATGAAATATTATATATATACATATACATATATATGTGTTGTATACATATATAATAGCACAATAATATATATATCAATAAATATGTATCAGATTAACTTTGTTGTAAGTTTTATGTGATTACCACACTAAATCTTATTTATGTTTGTAATCTTTGTCTGTTGCTTCTCCTCTACTC